TGCCAAAGGGGCCCTTTAGAGTAGTGAGAGAAGATCTTCACCCTGAAACCCACAGCGTCCCTTTTCAGCAGGAAGTAGCTAAGAGAATATGCCATCCTCTTTTCCTTATCAATTGGGGTGAAGTCTCTCTTAGTGAGGAGTGATAGGGAATGGCAAAGGAGATTAATCAGAACTGGCTTTGACAAGCACTGTGGCAATTGGAAAATTAAAACAGACTTTCAAGGGGGGGGTAAGGAATGAACTGGGGGGAGGGTAGAGAAAATAGTGCAACAATGAATGAGTGCAAACCCAAAATCTCTGTAAATATTCATTAAAATTAATAAAATTTAATAAAAAAACACAACAGCAACATAAACAAATAAAGGCTTTTCTTTGGCTGAAAGCTATATCCCCTGCAAATAATTAAAAGAAATTCTACTTTGAGGAAGGAGATCTTTCCCAATAGTATTTTGAGTGCCTTCCAACCTGAGGGCCTCATCTACTGGCACTGTATCAGAGAAAGTTTTGCTACTATTAATGCTGTTTTCAATGGCTCCTTATTTCAGAAGTGGATGGATAAACCAGTTTCCTAATTTTTCTTACTCTGGAAGCCTTGCTGAACTTTGTCTATTAGAAGCACAGCTTCCAGTATTAGAATTCAGGCAAGCTGTCACAGTCCAACAATCTGACAGAAGAGTTGTAGAACTAATGCTTGTTGTTGTTATGTACCGTCAAGTCAGAACCAACTCATAGCTAACCCTCTATTGGGTTTTCAGAAGCAGAAAATGGCAAGGGAGAAATTGGCTATCTTTCTCCTGCAAGGAAGCTGATGGATTCAAAAGGTAGAGACCACATCTGGGTGGCACCACTGTTGTCCCAGGAAAGCCTTTGGGTTGGCAGTGAAACTTTTTAACTACTAAGCCACCAGAATGCCGGAGATCCAGTTTCAGGATCTGCTATTGAAAGACTGTCCAAACTCAGTAATTTTTTTTTTTTTAATTAATCAAATGTAGATAGGGAAATCAGTCTGGACTAGGCACCTCTGCCAGGAAGGAAGAAATTGGTAGTCAGGGAATAAAGTCATAGGGCAGAATTAGGACATACTTCTCAACAATGTCCTTTCCTTTCCTAGGTGGTTTGTCTAAGATCCCGTTTTGATAGCATGCTTTTACTACCTCACCCACTGCATCCTCCCTGCTCCCTTCAGAGGTTCTGGCTTTTCACACTCATCTTTTAATTTTTTAAATTTCATATCTTATGAAATTATTGTTCACTAGTGCTGCAGAATGCTTAATGTGTGAAGATATGATAATTTCTCAATTGATTCATTTGCTAATAGGCATTTGGACTACTTCCATTTTCTTGCTCTTGTGAATAGCATTGTTATGGACAGGTTGTTCTTAGGCACTGTCGAGTCACCTGCCACTCATAGCAATCCACATACAATAGCTCTGAAGCCTGTCCTGTCCTGAGACAGTCTCACTGACTCCGACATACCGACCCCCATTGACCTAGTTGCTGTTAATAGACCAATTCATCTCATCTGGGGTCTTTCTCTCCTGTCTGTCCCTCCACTCTTCTGGGCATGATGTCCTTCTCCAAGGACCAGATCCTTCTGGCCACGTGCCCAAAGCATGTGAGACGAAGCTTCAAAATCCTAGCATCCTAGCCTCTAAGGAGACACTTGGTTTTCCCCTTTCCAAGACAGACCATTTGTTTTCTTGGCAGTTCATGAATCTTTTCCAGCACCACAACTCAAAGGAATGGATTGTTCTTCTGTCATCCTTAGTCATTGTCCAGCTCTCAAATGCATAACAAGTAATTGGGAAGACCATGGCCTGGATCACTCTCATCTTTTGTCTCCTTTGAGTTCTCTATTCTCGTTCTAGGAGCACTGGTGGCCGAGTGGTGAGAAACTGCACTTCGATCCCAAAGGCAGGAGTTGCTCAGCAAGAGAATGAGCAATCTCCTCTAGGTGTGATTAAACTGCCTCTGAAAACATGCTGGAGGGTCAACAGCTATGGGTCAGTTCTGACTCCATGGTGCACAACAAGAGTTCTCTTAGAGCGCTCTGGTGGCCTTGTGGCAAGAAGCTAGGCTGCAATACCAAAGAAATACTGTTCGAATCTACCAGCTTCTCTGAGGGAGAGGAATAGGTAATCCCCTCCTCTGCGATTAAACCTCTGAAAACCCACTGGAGGGTAGATGATGGGTCCGGGTTCCGACTCAACGGTAAACAGTAACTACAAGAGTTCTCTCAAGCTGTAATTTGGGGAGTTTTTGTTCTGTTTTGTTTAGGGTCTAAAGTGGTTTGAAAAATATCTAGCTCACAACCACAATTTAGCTGGAATTCTGGACTCCAGTAATTACAGTCTTCAGACTACATCCTGAGAACTGGATTCCCTAAGGTCATGAGACCACATTACCTCAGGTCAAAGTGAGCGCCTGCTTTCAGTAACTGATGCGGAATTCAGTAGGCAAGCTTTAGTCCCTAGCCAACCCAGGTGGAGGCTTATAACACTGCTGGTTGTGCAAGCAGATGTGAGGTTACATACCAGCTGGTGGCGGGGGCAGAGGATATAAAAATACTCAACAACATAAACACACAAACCCCCAAACCCACCCAAACCAGAGTTCAAAGGCTGACTTTCAGGCCACAGACGTCTTTATTTTAAAGTTAAGACAGCCTAGCCGTCTCATTCTAGTAGAAATTACCCACAACAAGAAGCGCCTTCCAAAGCCCTTAACACTCTTGCGCCTCTAAGGAGGGAGCAAGGGAGGGTTGAGTTTTAACCCCTCAATCCAAAACTGTCCCTCTTTCTCTTCTCTTCACCCGAAGTTCTTTAATTTTCTTTCTAAACAGCCCGCTGATCCCCAGCGGTTGTTTTCCTGTCTTTCGCTTTCGGCTTGAACCAAACACAGAACCGGGCGCATTACGTAGGCTTGGCTTTGCACAGGAACTCCCCCGGGTGCGTTCCAGGCCCTGAGGCTCAGAACCTGTTTCCACCGCTTCTGCAGCGGGAATCCCAAGAGGTCCGGGCCCGGAGCTTCCAGACCTCCGGGCTGCACCCAGCTCTGGTGCAGGGTGGAGACCTGAGCCCGTCAGGCGCCCCTTTCCCGCCTCAGACGCGCAGGACGCGCAGGCCCCACGGTGCCTGGCCGCGCCCCGGACCTCACGTGAATCCTGGGGGCCGGACCCTGTTCCCTCCTTCGTCCCCGCCAAGTCTTCTCTGGGTCACTGCGACCAGGTCCCTGCGTGGAGCCTGCAGCACGATGATGGGTTCCTGGCTGGTGCCCGCGGGGCAGAAGCTGCTGCTGTGGGGTGCAGCGAACGCCCTGTTTGTGGCGGGCGTCACCCTACTGCTGACCCTCCTGCCAATGCTGGCGAACTATGCGCGGAGATGGCAGCAAATGAGGGCCATCCCGTCGGTCGCCGGCGCCTACCCGCTGGTGGGCCACGCGCTGATGATGAAGACTGACTCACAAGGTAGGGACTACGTCTGTCCGCGGGCCCGGTGCAACCCAAAGGCTGGCGCGCCCCGCGGAAGGATCCATTCATTGGAGCGGTGACCTCGGAAAGCCCCTGCACCCCAAATAACCCTCTGTAGCCGCAGGGGCCCCAGCACTCCGCTTGTCCTCCTGTCATTCTGCAGCTTGTCACTTAGAGACTGGCTGTCAGCACAGAAAACCCAAATCAAACTCGTCTTCAAATGGATTCAGACTCAGGAAGACCCTCCATCGAATTTGAACCAAACCCAACACACCGCTATCCAGTGGATTCTGACTCAGTTTTAACAAACTCATTAGGTCTGAGAGGCTGTAAATCTGTCCATCTTTTTCCCCACAGAGAATGATTTTTTATTTCTCCAAAATTGCTAGTACTACCCTTCTACTCCCTTCAATAATGAACTTTTCTTTATATATAACATACAGTGGTTCCAAACTCTAACCCTGCTTTTTCTCTTCTCCTTTTCCAGTCTCCTGTTATTTTAGTCTGAGAACTCTGCCTGTCTTAGTGCAGAGAGACCTCTGCTAGCGCTGACAGCTCAAAGGCACAGAGTTTTTGACTCTCTGTTCTGCTGGGACAATCTCATTTAAAATACAACTGCAGAGTCAGTTCTGATTTGAGCACACAGAATAATAACTTGGATTCAAAACAAAAACCGAGCTTTAACTCTGTGGAAACTTCCCTAGAACTCGGCAAAAACTTTAATATTTTGTGTCCATCTCTACTTATTTCAACTTGGGAAAATAAGGGACCCTGATCCATGTAGGATTACACTGCCCCTTTCCCTAACACAGACATCCAAAGCTTCCATTTCTTGTTAGCTTTCATATTTTGGCCTTCCTAACAAGATTGCATAATAACAGTGAGTAAACTATGATGCCATGACTATTTGAAAGTTTCTAAAACCTGAAATAATTGCTTTTTAAAAAGATAGTAATTTTCTGGATTTTATCGCTGAGGGAAAATCACTTTAAGTTAAAAAAATTCTCAGAAGTACCTAGTATTTTCAGTTCTCCATTAGGCCGGATGTATCAGATCATACATAGCATTTTGTTTTCATGGATGTGTAAGGTGAATTACACAGAGCTGAAAAGACTTCCCCAATATCACATGTTTTTAAAATGGGTCCAGGATCAGACCCCAGATCACCTCAAAATAATCATTAATAATTGTAGCAGAGCTCCAACGTCAACTCCAAAACTTGAAGTATTATTTGACACATTTTCACTTATATTTCCCATAGGGGGAGAAATATTGTCAATTCAACTGCACAGGAATAGGATCATACTGGGGATGTGTTTGTAAAAATATTGCAAGTATTTTCTGGGAGAAGAAATCCAAGGAAATACTTTACCTGCAAGTTGCCCAGAAACACATTTAGAAATACAGAAATCACTGTGGAAGTTACCTTGATTAAAACAGAGCTTACTTCCATTTCTAGAGTAAGTCTTCAAGGCATTAGAACACACCTGTGTAGAATTATAGACAACCCAATAAACACACTCTCTCACCCCCAGTGAACATGATAGCTTTAACACTCATTGTATTCTTTGGGGAAGTTTATGTTAAGAATTGAAATCTCTAGGGCATAAGGCCTTTTTCAAAGTAAACTAAAACCTTGTTGGAATATTTGGGATTACTTTCCAAGTTCTGAGACTACTGTCAAGAATTTGTTTGCCAAAAATCCTATGCCACTCATTTGTGGTCTGTTTTTGTTACCATTCCAACATTTATGGAGCCCCTGCTGGGTACCCCAGCTAGAAAAGTCAGGAAATGAACTATGTTAAAATCTCTTCCTTGTCTGAAGTAGTCTTGTCTTTTATAAAGGAGACTTGTCAATCAGTCTAGGGTTATTGACCAAGTTTTTACTTGTTTTTAGGTTTTGGGTTGTTTTGGGGTGTTTTTTGTTTGTTTGTTTGTTTTTAGTTTTTAGTTTTAATCTTATCTGGAATATTGTATTTAGATTTAGCTTCTAGTTGCCCATCATCCCTCAAACACTAATCTTTCAATTGCTTAGCCCACTGTATCAATTTATTATTTCCACAACTCTTCTCAGACATGAACCCATTGCTATTGATTCCAACTTACAGTGACCTTCCATGCAGTCTCTGAAGCCCGAAGTCTTTTATGAGAGAATAAATACTCTTCTTTCTCCCAAGAAGTTATTGTCATAGAGTCAGAACTGACTTATAGCTGACTCTCCAACACGTTTTCGGAGGCATAGGAGATTGTCTGTCCTCCTACAGAGAAACTGGTAGATTCAAACCGTGCCTTTGAGTTTGTAGTGCAAATTCTGACCGCTAAGCCACCAGAGCTCCCTGAAAACAGTTGCCTTTTAGTTAGCAATCCAGCGTGCAATCCGCTGCAACACCAAGGCTTCTTGCTCCCAGCTCTCAAACCACTTCCTTATTTCTTCTGCTAGACATGACTAAAGAAGTCATGTTAGTCTGAGATAAGATGTTTTTACGATGGTGATTTAACACAATTATTTTTACAGTACAGGGAGCTCTAGTGGCCTAGTTAAGAGGGAGTTGTGCTATTAATCCAAAGGATATGCCTATCTATAGGGAGCTCTAGTGGCCTAGTTAAGAGGGAGTTGTGCTATTAATCCAAAGGATACGCCTATCTGGTAGTTCAAATCCATCATCAACACCATGAGAGAAAGAAAGTCTCCTTTAATGCAATTTCTAGCCTCAGAAAACCACTCGTGGGTCAGCTATGAGTTGATTTTGACTCTACGGCAATGGGCTTGAGGGTTTTAGTTTACTTTTACTGCAATTTTGACTAATGTTATTAACTGGGGCCAGTATGGTGTAGTGCTTTTGGTGCCAAATTCAGGAGTCTAATCCCTTCACTGCAAAACCAGGCTCCACACTTTGCTAGCTTTGTGTCAATTTCTCAATTGTTCCATGTCAGTAAGAATTTTACGTTACCTATGGCTGTGGTGAATTATAAAACATAAGTTGTTATGTACCATTGAGTTGAAAGAGACTCATAGCTGATCTTCCAGCTGGTTTTCAAAGGCAATAAATCTCTCCGGAAGAGATTACCCAACTTCTTCCTGCAGAGTAGCTGGGGGATTCAAACCTCACACTTTTGGGTTGGCAGTGTACCTGCTTACTCAGCCACTAAATCTCTCTATATAACATATAGTACATAAAAAAAAAACCCCACATAATGCATCTCATATGGTGTTGTTATGTGCCGTCAAGTCACTTGCGATTCATGGTGACCCTATGTACAACAACCCTAAACTCTGCTCTGTCCTGTGCCAATAGCACTGTCTCTGACACACCCATCCCAATTACCCCGTCACTCAATCAACCCACCTCATAGAGGGCCTTCCCCTCCAGAGCAGTCCCTCCACTCTCCCAAGTACAGTGTCCCTCTCCAAGGACCAGTCCCTCCTTACAGCATGTCCAAAGTATGTCAGACAAAGCCCCAGAACCCTTGCCTCTAAGGAGCAGCGTGGTTTAACCCTCTCCAGGGTGAATCTGTTTGTTTTCTTAGCAGTCCATGATACTCTCAGTACTCTTCTCTAGCACCACATCTCAAAGGCATCAATTCCCCTTCTATCACCCCTTATCATTGTCCAACTCTCTGACGCATAATAACTGATTGCATCTCATATACTTTACATAGAATCTGGCAAAATAAACTGCCAAACAAATAACAGTGACATAAAATATAATTTATTCTAGGTTATGGACTAAAAATAGAAAACTTTATGAAAATGACAGAGGATTTCGTTCTGTTAAACACCAGATAGGCACTTGCAACAATTGTTATTGTTAGATGCAGTCAGTTTGGCTCCAACTCATAGCAACCTTATACACAACAGATTAAAACCTTATCTGATCCTGTGCCATCCTTACAATCTGAGCTGAGTTTAAGGCCATTGTTGCATTCACTGTGTTGGCAGTCCATCTCATTGAAAGTCTTTCTCTTTTTCACTAACCTTCTACATTTCCATACAAAGAAATACATACAAATCAGTAAGTACCTAAGGAAGGAAATAGAGTTCTTTAGGTTGTTGTTGAGTACCACAGAGTCAGAACCGACTCATTGCTGATCCTCCAGTGGGTTTTCAGAGGCACAAAATCACTTGAGAGAAGACTGTTCATCCTTATGCTGAAGAGCAGCTGGTGGATTTGAACTGTCTTTGAAATTGCAGCAGAGCTTCTTAGCAGTAGGCCACCAGCACTCCTTTCTTTATAGAAGATTACAGTTACTTGTTAAGGGCTAGAATTGCTACCTGGTCTTTCTCATTCTCATAGAGGAGGGCTGGAGTGTCCCTGGAAATGGGAAGGAAATTATTACGCTTGCACAGTGTGAATTTCCAGCAAGAGTGAAGTGGTGGTTACACTAGGAAGTGACCTGTTCCCCAGCCCATCACACAAGTCTTAGGTAGGGCTGGGATAGAACAAGTCTCACAAGATTGGGAGTCATGAAAGGATCTTTTTAAAGAGAGAAGCGAACTAGGAGCGGGGAGGAAAATGTGCAACAATAATTTTATGGAAATCCAAGTTTTCTGTAAACTTCTGTTAAAATATCAATTAAAAAAAGACTGAGAGTCAATAAAAAAAGTGTACACCTGGGTGGTGGCTCACGCTTACTCTCCTTTTATAATGACATCTTGTTGTAAGGTGTGGTTTAACCCCCGTCTTTCCAGGGATCCTTCCTTTTCTTCTCTCTCTCTTTTTTTTTCCTTTTTAGCTATGCTTCTGTCTTGTTACCTTAATAAACCTTTCCACTTGTTTTGCTAAATTGCCACCGTGTGTGTGTGTTTGTTAACTACAGTCACCTCAACTCACCCCCTCAGGGGAAATAATAATGAGTGGTGAAGAGATAAAGAGAACTCTTTAGCACTGTTCATTACTATCTGTAGAAAAAGGAAAGAAATGCAAATTGGCCACTTGGAAAGTGCTATATTAACTCAGGTTCAAGACAGATTTCATCATGGATCAACCATGGACATG